TGCTGCACCCCACGTTCCACCACCCTCCCCTGGAATGGAAACTCAGCAGAGGGGAAAAGGCACCGGGGGAGCTGCCCAGAGCACGCCCAGGGTGCTGCTGGCATCCCGGGAATGTGGGGCTGGACTGCCACCCACCCCTGGGAGCTGCTCCAGCCCCGAGCTCTGACTCGGGATAGCCCCGGGAGCTTTCACCCCGGAGCTTGCACAAAACCCCGGTTTGCTGCTGTGTGATTTAAACCCCACTGTGAAGTTCTGCAGCACTGGGGCTGCAGCTCAGCCCAGACATTTTTGGGAGGCACAGTGTCAGCCCAGCCTGGGACAAGGCCCCAGTTCTCAGTAAAGAAAGGACTCGTGCAGGGGTGGTGGTGTGGCAGGAGTGGCTTTGGGAGTGCTGCAGGACCTGCAGCCCAGACTGAGTCACCAGAGGGCCCAGGGTGATGTGGCAGCTCAGCAGTGCAGAGCAGGGCCCAAAACCAAGCACAGAGGGGCAGGACAGACAGACAGCAGGACAGACACCAGCCCTGTTATCAGCCCAGTCTCAGCAGTGCAGAGCAGGGCCCAAAACCAAGCACAGAGGGACAGGACAGACAGACAGCAGGACAGAAATCAGCCCATACCAGCCCCGTTACCAGCCCCAGCCTAGGACCAGGAGCTGGGGAAGCCCTAAATCATCCCTGAGAGCCAAACAGGAGCCCCAGGGCTGAGCAGGAGCTGCTCAAAGCCTTCTCCTGCCTCGCTCCCTCCCCCAGCACCTCCCAGGCCGAGGGGGAGGAAGAGGAGGAGGAGGAGGAGGAGGATGGCACCCACATAAGAGCACAGCCAGGACAGGCAGGCAAAGCCAGCTGAGGGGAAGGGGTTTGTCGGGCTGTACTGCATTGCTCAGCAGCACGGGCAGGGCAGCTTTAATCTGGAGTGGAAAGGGGAGTAAAACCCGTGAGCTGATGGCCCTGAGCGTGTGGGATGAGGAAGAGCAAAGCCCCCAGTGCCACAAGCTGGGAGCTGCAGCCTGGAAAAGCCTCGGGGAGTTAGAGCAGACCCAGCCTGGGGAGTTGAACTCCCCATCACACACAGCCTCTGTCCATCCTTCAAAGGCTGTCAAAACATTTGGCTCCTCAGCCCATCCTTGAGGGAGCAGCTGAGGCACTGCCAGGGCAGCTGCCCGGGTCAGAGCACAGCCCTGAGGAGGTGAGGGAGCAGCAGGGACAGCCGGGGCTGCCGAGCTCCAGGGAGGGAGGAGAATTACCTCGAGAACGCCTCGTCCAGCCCATCATCCATCTCCTTTGTGAAGAGATAAAAAGAGAGACAAGCAGTTGCTAAGAGAACTGCACAGAAGTGTGTTTAGAGATCTGGCTCTGCGCTCAGACAGGAAAATATCTGTGTCTGTTGGGTGGTGAGTGCCTCCATCACCTCCCCTGCAGAGAGAGGTGAATCCAGGTGGAGCCGGGCCTGGCCCCTCCCTGCACCCCCAAAAAGCTGCCTCTGCCCCCAGCTCCATCCCGGGGATGGAAACCAGCACCCCTCACTCTGTCCTGCTGCCAGGAGGGGCTGCACAGCTCCAGGAGCCCCTGGGGCTGCTCTGGACCAGGGTCAGGACCAGGATCAGGATCAGGAGATCCTGGACCAGGATCAGGACCAGGACCAGGACCAGGAGATCCTGGATCAGGATCAGGACCAGGACCAGGATCAGGGTCAGGATCAGGACCAGGACCAGGACTAGGGTCAGGACCAGGATCAGGGTCAGGACCAGGACCAGGAGATCCTGGATCAGGACCAGGACCAGGATCAGGATCAGGATCAGGAGATCCTGGACCAGGATCAGGACCAGGACCAGGACCAGGAGATCCTGGATCAGGACCAGGACCAGGATCAGGACCAGGACCAGGACCAGGACCAGGAGAGCAGCTCTGCTCTGGCACAGCAGGACAGCAAAAGCAGCCCTGGGACCCTGTGTCTCTGCCCTGCTGCCAGGGTTTCCAGGAAAGCATGGGAGGAAGATTTCCATGCTCTGTGAGGGCCCTGCTGCAGCCAGAGCAGGCTGCTCCCAAAATCCTGTGAGGAACCTACAGCCTTAATGCAATTAATAATTAAGTATGAGAACTCTGCAAGCAGGGAGGGACTGGGGATGGCTGAGAAGCCTCCAGGATTTGATTCAGCCTTAGGGCTGATCTTCAGCTTTAACCTGGAAAGCCTCAGGCTGCAATTTACCCTGCAGCTCCCCAAAATCCAGCAGGGAGGGCTCTCCAGGGAGGGGCTGTGCTGGGGAGAGACCCCAGGGTGAGAGGGGCTTCAGGGGGCAGCCCCAGCCTGCCTGGGGGTCAGAGAGCCATAAAAGGGTTTGGCTGGGAAGGGAAATCCCATAAATCCCACCCAGGGACACCCTCCAGCCTGGCCTGGGGCACTGCCAGGGATCAGGGGCAGCCACCTCTGGGCCTGCCCACCCTCCCAGCCAGGAATTCCTCCCCAAAATCCCACCGACCCCACCCTGGCCCAGTCTGAGGGGGATGATGGAGCACTGGGCTCCTGGTGGATGCACACCCAGGGCTGCAGCACCACTCTTCTCTCAGAGAAACATTAATTAAAAATTAACCCAGGGGACTGAGGACGTTCCCAAGGAGCCACCCCAGCTCCCAGACAGGGAGAACAGGACCAACAACGGGCTCCAGGCTGCTTTTGGTGAGCAGGAACCAGGGGACACTGACTCCTGCCCCTGGACAGAGCAGGAATGGCATCAATAAGTGACAAAAAAATGAGAAATGCTGCCCCAGAGCAGGAACATGCCATCACCTGCCAGCAGCGTTCCCCACAGGGCTCTGCCACCCTGCTCCTTTATCCCCCAAGCCCTGAACAGCCCTGCACCACCCGGAGCTGGCACACCTCCCAGAGCTCCCAGTTCAGCCCAGTTCAGCCCTGGGGTGCAGCTGGGGCTCTCCTGGCTGCCCCTTACCCACAGCACGTTGTTGTTGACCGAGGGGCTGGGCCCAAAGCTGCTGTTGTCCAGCTCTGGGGACTCCGTGCTGCTGCCAGGGTCCTCAAAGTCCAGCAGGTTCCCCATGGCTGCTGCTGTGGGCAGAGCAGAGGGGCACTGAGGGCACAGGGAGGGCACAGCCACCCCTCTGGGCAGGAATCACTCCCCTGCACCGAATTCCTGCAGCACAGCCCCAAAGCTGAGCGCTGAGGGGCTGCTCCCACCCCACTGGGGGCTGTGCTTCAGGCTCCTGAGGAGCTCCCCGTGCCTCCAGCAGCTTTGGGAAGGCTCCTGGGTGCCCAGTGATGCTCAGGGTGAGCCCCAGGGCCAGGACAGCCCCTGGGGAAAACCCCCAGCACCCCACAGGGCTGCAGCAGTGTTTCACAGCCCTGGGGGCAGCTCAGAGCCTGGGAGGCCTCCAATCCTCCCCAGCAGCTGCACTGGGCTGGGGCAGCAGCATCCCAGCCCTGGCAGCCCCCAGGGAGAGGGGAGCCCATCCCAAAGCTCATCCCAATCCCAGGCTGGGCTGATGCCAAGGTGCCACCCCTTGGGAGAGATTCCTCCAGTCCTGAGGGATCTCAGGACGTGCCAGCCTGCAAGGGAGCCCAGTGTAATGCTGTTTTTCTGCGTGCCAAATCCTCTTATCTCATGGCCAGCACGGGGAGGGATGAGCCTTTTGCCCCACTCCTCCTGCCCTGCACCTCAGAGGAGCCAGGGCCAGCCCTGAACTGTGAGGGATTTGTGATTTAATTGCTTCATTTCACACAGCTCCCCTTGCTCAGGGGCACCTGGCTGTCCTCCTCCCTCAGCCCAGGGGCCTGGGGTCTGGCACAGCCCCAAAACTGAGCTGGGGACCTGCAGAGCCAGCTGAGCTCTGGAGGACACCACAGCCACTTTGCCTGGGGCAGGAGCAAACAGATCTGGGAAGCACCCAGCTGGCAGCCAAGGGCTCTGACCTGCTGCTCCTCCTGGCCTTCAGAGCCCTGCCAGGAGCTGCTTGTGTCTGGGGACAATGCCTCAGGCTGTCCCCTGCCCTGCTCAGGGACACCCCCAGTCCCTCAGGGACACCCCCAGTCCCTCAGGGACATCCCTGATCCCTCAGGGTGTCCTTTGCCCTGTTCAGGGACAATCCCTCACCCCTCAGGGACATCCCTGTGCTGTTCAGGGGCAATACCCCACCCCTCAGAGACATCTTCCATCCCTCAGGGGACAATCCCCCAACCCTCAGGCTGTCCCCTGCCCTGCTCAGGGACAATCCCAATCCCTCAGGGACACCCCTGTGCTGTTCAGGGACAGTCCCCAATCCCTCAGGGACAGTCCCCATCCCTCAGGGACAGTCCCCAATCCCTCAGGGACAGTCCCCACCCTTCAGGGACAGTCCCCAATCCCTCAGGGGCAGTCCCCACCCTTCAGGGACAGTCCCCACCCCTCAGGGACAGTCCCCACCCTTCAGGGACAGTCCCCAATCCCTCAGGGACAGTCCCCACCCCTCAGGCTCTGCCCTGGTGGCTCACGTGTGACAGGGTGGGCAGGAGCTCCTGAGCCAGGGCTGCTTGTCCCTTCTGCTGCCAGGATGGACCTTTCCCTCTTCTCCTTCTCTGCAAAAGAGGAGATGCCAGCACTGCCTGCAAGCCTCCAGGGACAGGGCCAGGGCCAGCTGGGCCAGGCCAGCCGTGGTGCTCCTGTCACCTCCTGGAAGTGGAAGCAGAACCCCCACCATGGCACCCCCAGGGGGCTCCTGCAGGACAGCACAGCCAGAACCTGCCTGGACCCACAGGGCTCTCCAAAAAAACCTGGAAATTCGGGAGGCAGGAGAGGGGGGAGCACCAGAGGGACCCCTGAGGGGCAGCAGGGCAGGGACACAAACTCACCTTCCTTGGCTGCCTGCCAGAACTCAAAGGCGATCCTGAAGGCCTGGGCCACGGTGAGGGTGACAGCCTGGGCCTGGGGACAGACAGCAGGACAGGCTGACACCCCTGACACCACTGAGATCAGTCACTGACACCACTGAGATCAGTGAGATCAATGAGATCGACCAGGATGGACCTTTCCCTCTTCTCCTTCTCTGCAAAAGAGGAGATGCCAGCACTGCCTGCAAGCCTCCAGGGACAGGGCCAGGGCCAGCTGGGCCAGGCCAGCCGTGGTGCTCCTGTCACCTCCTGGAAGTGGAAGCAGAACCCCCACCATGGCACCCCCAGGGGGCTCCTGCAGGACAGCACAGCCAGAACCTGCCTGGACCCACAGGGCTGTCCAAAAAAACCTGGAAATTCGGGAGGCAGGAGAGGGGGGAGCACCAGAGGGACCCCTGAGGGGCAGCAGGGCAGGGACACAAACTCACCTTCCTTGGCTGCCTGCCAGAACTCAAAGGCGATCCTGAAGGCCTGGGCCACGGTGAGGGTGACAGCCTGGGCCTGGGGACAGACAGCAGGACAGGCTGACACCCCTGACACCACTGAGATCAATGACACCACTGTGATCAATCTCTGAGATCAATGACACCACTGAGATCAGTCACTGAAACCACTGAGATCAATGAGATCACTGAGATCAATCACTGAAATCACTGAGATCAATGACACCACTGAGATCAATGAGATCAACCACTGAAATTAGTGAGATCAATGACATCACTGAGATCAATCATTGAAACCGCTGAGATCAATGAGATCAATGAGATCAATCACTGAAACCACTGAGATCAATGACACCACTGAGATCAGTCACTGAAACCACTGAGATCAATGACATCAATCACTGAAATTACTGAGATCAATGACATCACTGAGATCAATCATTGAAACCGCTGAGATCAATGAGATCAATGAGATCAATCACTGAAATTAGTGAGATCAATGACATCACTGAGATCACAATCAATGAAACCTCTGAGACCACTGGAATTACTGAGATCAGTCACTGAAATCATTGAAATTACTGAAACCACTGAGATCAATCACTGACATCACTGAGATCAGTGAAATCAATCACTGAGATCAATCACTGACATCACTGAGATCAGTGAAATCAATGAAATCACTCAGATCACTGAGATCAATCACTGAGATCACTGAGATCAGTGAGATCAATCACTGAGATCAATCACTGAGATCAATCACTGAGATCAATCACTGAGATCAATCACTGCCACCTCTGCAGCCCCCCTGGCTCTGGCAGCTCCTGCAGGGCTGGCAGAGCCACCAAACCCTGCAGGGACACGTCCCCAGGAGGGCAGGGCCGGGCTGGCACAGGCTGGCACAGGGTGGCACAGGGTGGCACAGGGCTGGCCCAGAGCTGGCACAGGGTGGCACAGGGCTGGCCCAGGCTGGCACAGGCTGGCACAGGGTGGCACAGGGCTGGGGACACAGCAGCTGCCCCCCAGCCCAAATCCCACCCCAGGCCTTCTGCCACCTCTGCAGCCCCCCTGGCTCTGGCAGCTCCTGCAGGGCTGGCAGAGCCACCAAACCCTGCAGGGACACGTCCCCAGGAGGGCAGGGACGGGCTGGCACAGGGTGGCACAGGGCTGGCACAGGCTGGCACAGGCTGGCCCAGGCTGGCACAGGCTGGCCCAGGGCTGGCACAGGGCCGGGGGCACAGCAGCTGCCCCCCAGCCCAAATCCCACCCCAGGCCTGTGCCACCCTGCCAGGGGGAGCCCCCAGAGCCACCCGTGCCACTCGAGGCTGGCAGGAGCTCTTGGGATGCTGGAGCTGTTTACATCCTTGATGGAAGTGCAAATGCTTTATGGCAAAAAAACCCCTTAAATATGGTAATTAAGTATGAAACTCCTCACAGCTGTTTACAATTTAGGCTGTCACATCTGAATCAAGTTTAATAGACCCAGCTACTGTTGAGAATTAGCCAGGAACTAAAAATATGGACTAATTACAGGGCTGTGAGTGGGGGCTGTGGTGCACCCAGAGCCCCTGCCCTGGGGAGGGCCGGCCCCAGCCTGGGAGCAGGGATCACCTCAGCAGCAGGATGTTCCTGCATTTGACACAGCAGGAAAAAGGAAATTATTCCGAGTTTTTTCACCACAAAAGGCTTTGGAGAACTTTATTTGCAGGGGGATGCACTGAGCTGATGCAGCACTGAGATAATTCTTTTAGCAGCAGGAAGATTTAAATTTTAATTTGCAGAGCCAGGCTTATCTTGGCCGTGCAAGGATGGGAGCACACGCTGAGCACAGCACAGACAACTTGTGGCTCCCATTCTTCTCTCCAGGGGGAAAAAAGGAGCTGGGAGAGGCAGGGAATATTAACAGAGCTGGGGTGCTGCTGGGCACCAGGCTGGGAACGGCCTCAGAGGGGCCTGGCACACCCTGCCCTGACCAGGGAAGCATTTCGGGGGGCACAGGGGTCTCACCTGCCCTTCCTCTCCCCTAAAGCCCCTCCTGGCACAGGGAGGGGGCTCAGTGCCAGCTCTGACACCCCAGGGCTCTCCTTGCCCCTCTCCTCTCTCTGTTCCAGGTCCCTTCCCACCCTGGGGCAGGGAGAGAACAGGGGAAGGTGCCAGGAGGGCCCAGAGCTCAGCCCTGACCCCCTCCCACAGCCAGATCTCTGCTCTGTGCCCAGCCCAGAGCTCAGCCCTGACCCCCTAAAGGTGCCAGGAGGGCCCAGAGCTCAGCCCTGACCCCCTGAAAGGTGCCAGGAGGGCCCAGAGCTCAGCCAGGTCTCTGCTCTGTGCCCAGCCCGGGGCAGGACACAGCCCCAGCTGCAGAGATGTCACTGAAACTGGGCAGGGAGCTGGGGCTGTCTGCCCTGGGCACCTCCTGCCCAACCCTCCCTGCCCAGGGGGCTCGGGAGGTGCCCGGGGGGCTCAGGAAATGCCCAGGGGGTGCCCAGGGGGTGCCCAGGAGGTGCCTGGGGGGCTCAGGAGGTGCCATGGGGGTGCCCAGGGGGCTCAGGAAGTGCCTGGGGGGCTCAGGAGGTGCCCAGAGGGGCTCAGGAAATGCCCAGAGGGGCTCAGGGGGTGCCTGGGGGGCTCAGGAAGTGCCTGGGGGGCTCAGGAGGTGCCCAGGGGGGCTCAGGAAATGCCCAGGGCATGCCCAGGGGGTGCCCAGGAGGTGCCCGGGGGGCTCAGGAAATGCCCAGGGCATGCCCAGGGGGTGCCCAGGAGGTGCCCGGGGGGCTCAGGAGGTGCACAGGGGGGCTCAGGAAATGCCCAGGGGGGCTCAGGGGGTGCCTGGGGGGCTCAGGAGGTGCCCAGGGGGGCTCAGGAAATGCCCAGGGGGCTCAGGGGGTGCCCAGAGGGGCTCAGGGGGTGCCCAGGGGATGCCCAGGGGGCTCAGGAGGTACCCAGAGGGTGCCCAGGAGGTGCCCAGGGGATGCTCAGGGGGGCTGAGGAGGTGCCCAGGGGGTGCCCAGGGGGTGCCCAGGGGAGAGGGTGCCCAGGAGGTGCCCAGGGGATGCCCAGGGGTGCTCAGGGGGGCTCAGGAGGTGCCCAGGGGGCTTAGGAGGTGCCCAGGAGGTGCCCAGGGGGTGCCCAGGGCTCTCCAGCCCCTGGCGCAGGCTCAGCTCCCCACAGCCTCACCCCACAGAGGCTCCCAGCAGCCAAGGCACGGAGCCAGCCCCACTCCAGCTGGGCTGAGCTGTGCCCAGCCTTCCTCCCAGCCCTGCAGCCCTCCTCCTCCTCCGTGCCCGCACTGACCATCTTCCTCTTGGTGCACAGGAAGGCGTGGCACTCCAGGCTCTCGCTCAGCTGGCTCTGGGCAATGTAGGCAAACACTTTGTCGTGGGCCTTGTCTGCTGTGCAGTAGGAGATCCTGAAAGGACAGAACAGCCCGGGCTGGGCTCTGGGGACAGCCCCAGGGATGGCACCAGGGATGGCACCAGGCTGGGAGATCCACGGGCAGCACAGGGAGAGGTGGGAGAAGAGAGAAGAAGAAATGTTGGGGTTTTTTTTCACACTGGACGGGCTAGAGAAGGGAAGATTACAGCAGAGCAGCACCTCACACTGCCCTGCCTCCAGGAGAGAGGCTGGCCCAGGCTCTCCTTGGAGGAAGGAGCTGTTCCCAGCCTGGCATTGCATCCTCAGCCCCAAGGAGGGGCAGGGCTGGGGTGCAGGGGTGCCACTTGCAGCAGTGGATGCTCAGGGGTGTGGGAGGAAGGCTCAGCCTCCTCCCTGCAGCCCCACCAGCCCCGTGCAGCAGCCAGGGGTGGGGAGCAGGCCTGTGCCCAGCCTTCCTCCCAGCCCTGCAGCCCCCCCTCCTCCTCCTCCGTGCCCGCACTGACCATCTTCCTCTTGGTGCACAGGAAGGCGTGGCACTCCAGGCTCTCGCTCAGCTGGCTCTGGGCAATGTAGGCAAACACTTTGTCGTGGGCCTTGTCTGCTGTGCAGTAGGAGATCCTGAAAGGACAAAACAGCCCGGGCTGGGCTCTGGGGACAGCCCCAGGGATGGCACCAGGGATGGCACCAGGCTGGGAGATCCACGGGCAGCACAGGGAGAGGTGGGAGAAGAGAGAAGAAGAAATGTTGGGGTTTTTTTTTTCACACTGAAGGGAAGATTGCACAGAGCAGCACCTCACACTGCCCTGCCTCCAGGAGAGAGGCTGGCCCAGGCTCTCCTTGGAGGAAGGAGCTGTTCCCAGCCTGGCATTGCATCCTCAGCCCCAAGGAGGGGCAGGGCTGGGGTGCAGGGGTGCCACTTGCAGCAGTGGATGCTCAGGGGTGTGGGAGGAAGGCTCAGCCTCCTCCCTGCAGCCCCACCAGCCCCGTGCAGCAGCCAGGGGTGGGGAGCAGGCAGGGCAGAGCCCTGGGGCCCAGCAGAGCACCCACCTGTAGATGGAGATGTTCTCGATGAGCTCGCTGGTCCTGCTGTCCCTGAGCACAATGCCCCGGGGTGACACCTTCAGGGTCACCTTCTGCAGCTTCTTCCCACTCGCCTTTGCCTTGGGGGGGAGAGAGGGAGGGGGAGCCCCAGGCTGGGAGCACTGGCACCTCCAGAGGTGTGTGAGCTTAACCCCTCCCTGCCCTCCCTGCAGCAGGCACAGGGATGTCCCCAGGGCCACCTGGCAGCAGGACAGGCCTGGCACTGGTGGCCCCCAGTGGCAGAGCACCCCCTGCACAGGACATCAGCTCGAATCCAGACTTTTGGGAGCCACTTTCTCTTCTTTACTGGCCCGCTGCTCCCAGCCTGCAGCTCACATCCAGCTAGGGCCAGGCTGGGATCCTCAGCCCCACTCCCTGAGGGATTTTCAGTCCCCTGGGGCACCTCAAAGCCTTGCCCAGAGCACTCCTGGCCCAGCCCAGGGCTTTGTTTCAGGGCTCCATTCCCCATGCAGGGCAGATGGGAAGGGCTCTGCAATTCCCTCCTGCCAGGAGAGGCTCCAGCACTCCCCACTGGGCCTTGTGGCACAGCTGGGGCTCTGCCTCACCCACTTTCACAGGGGCTTAAAACAGCCTGAATTGCACCCAGAGCCTGGCGAGCAGGGAGGCTCCGAGCTGGGAACTGCGGGATGGCTGGGAATGGGCTGGAGGAGGGCTGGGAATGGGCTGGGAATGGGGGAGATGGCTGGGAATGGGCTGGGAATGGGGGAGATGGCTGGGAATGGGCTGGGAATTGGGGGGATGGCTGGGAATGGGCTGGAGGAGGGCTGGGAATTGGGGGATTCAGGAAAGCCACCCCTCTGAGGTCACAGTGGCACACTGGCTGTGTTGGCTGGGATCTGCCCTGCTCCCTTCCCCTCTCTGCCCTCCAAATCCTGGCAGGGAAGCCCAGGGCAGCCCTGGCCACGCTCCAAGCCCTGTCCCTGCCCTGACCCAGCCCCGGGGCAGGCTGGCCCCAGCAGGGCAGAGCCCCCTCACACACCCTGGCTTATCACAGAGCCAGAGCTCACCCCACTCCCAGAGAGCCCCATCACAGCCAGGCTGCCCAGGGGCTTCCAGAGCCTGGAGCTGCCTGCAGCCCCAGCCACACCCCTGGAGGGGCTGCAGCTGCAATCCCAATTGCCTCGGAGCTGCAAATTCCAATTTCCCCAGGAGCTGCAATCCCAGTTTTCATGGAGCTGCAATCCTGACACCCCTGGAGCTGCAATCCCAATTCCCCTGGAACTACAATCCCAATTTTCCTGGAGCTGCAATCCAAATTTCCCCTGGGCCTGCAAATCCCAATTCCCCTGGAGCTGCAAATTCCAATTTCCCCAGGAGCTGCAATCCCAGTTTTCATGGAGCTGCAATCCTGACACCCCTGGAGCTGCAATCCCAATTCCCCTGGAGCTGCAACTCCCAATCCCCTGGAGCTGCAAATCTCAAACCCCAGGAGCTGCAAATTCCAATTTCCCCAGGAGCTGCAATCCCAATTGCCCTGGAGCTGCAATCCCAAACCCCTTGAGCTGCAAATCTCAAACCCCAGGAGCTGCAATCCTGGCTCCTCCCAGCTGCAGCTCTGAAATTCTTCCCTGTGGGACTCCCCCAGGGCCAGCAGGGGCCACTGGGGCCAGCAGGGGACACTCACGGTGGCCACGATCCTTTTGACAGCGGCTGCAGAGAGCTCCTCTCCCTTGGGCTGCTCCACCAGGGTCATGCCCAGGTACTTGAGGCTGAAGAGCATCCCCTCCAGCAGCGTCTCCCGCGTGTCCGTCCAGTTCTCAGGCAGCTCTGGGGACACAGGGAGGGCTCTGGGGGTCACACAGGCACAGCAGCACCCCGAGCCCCGGCTGCTGGGAGCAGGGATCCAGCTGGGAGAGGAGCAGCAGCAGCACTTCAGCCACCAGGAGTTCACCGGGAGCCTCCCCCGCAGCTCTCCCAGGCAGCACAACAAACCCCAAAACGCTTCCCAAGAGCCACAACAAGCAGCGCCATCCTTGAGGAGCCACCTCGGGGCCACCCCGCGGCCCTGCCCAGCAGCACCTGCACAAGGAGGATCAAGGGGATTGCTGCTAAGCTCTGGCTCCCAGGGGAGGGAAAGCATCCCCAGCGCCCTGGGGAGCCCCCGGGGGCAGGGACCTCTGCTCCCCCCCGGAAAGCACCAGGAACTGAAGAGCTGGGGGGAAGGGGGTTCTGAACACAGGGGGGGCAAGGTGGAAGGCAGGTGGGGGCTCCTGATCCTGGAATTCCACCGGGATCCACCCGGGGTGGGCAGGCGGTGCTGGAGCAGGGCTCTGCCTCGAGCAGGGGGCAAAACCCCAGCCCCGGCAGGGACGGACAGACAGACAGAACACCCCCGAGGCTGCCCTGAGGGCTGGGGGGCTGCAGAGCTGCCTGCACAGCTGCAGGGCTGGGGGACCCTGGGGACACCGGGGACACCGAGGACACAGCCCCTGGTGACTCAGGGACGGGACAAGCCACGAACACCGTGCCAGCACTGCCAGCTGAGCCCTGGGCAGGGCTGGCAGGGGCACCCGGGGGGGGGCAGGAGGGCGGGGGTCTCACCTGGCACACCTGGAAACCGAGGGGTCACACAGCCCCAACCTCCCCCAGGTGTCACACAGCTCCATCCCCAGGTGTCACACAGCCCCTCCAGGTGTCACACAGCTCCATCCCCGGTGTCACACAGCCCCCCCAGGTGTCACACAGCCCCCCAGGTGTCACACAGCCCCTCCCCGGTGTCCCCTGGGGGGTGCGGGGTGCCCCCCCCGGGCCTGGCAGCGCTCGGTGGCCGCTGGCCACGGGGCCATCGATCGTGTGACAAAAGCCAGCAGCGGGACGAGGTCACAAAGTGCCCGCAGGGCTCCGGCCCTTGCCCCGGGCTGGGGGACAGGGGGACACGGGCGGGATGGGGGTGCGGGTGCGGGGCAGGAGCGGGGCAGGAGCGGGGCTGCGCTCTCACTCTTGTGCCGCCCGCCGGCCCAGGACGGTTTGTGCACGCTGGGGCTCCTCAGCAGGGCCCGGCCCGCGGACTTGAGCGCGTCCATCCCGGCCCGGCCCGGCCCGGCCCCAACGCAAACTTTCCTGCGGCGCCAGCGCTGACCGCGTCCGGGGGCGGGGCCATGCAAATGAGCGCTGACGTCAGCGTGCCACGCCCTGTGCCACGCCCACCCGCCCCCGCGGCCCCAAAGCGCGGCGGGGTCCCCAAAACTGTGCGTGGTCCCGAAAGTTGTGTGGGGTCCCAAAACTCCTCGGGGTCCCAAAAGTTCAGCAGGGACCCAAAAACTGTTCAGGGTCCCTAAAGTTGTGCAGGGTCCCCAAAATTCCCCAGAGTCCCCAAAGCTCTGCAGGGACCCTAAAGCCGTGCAGGGTCCCCTAAAGCTCCTCGGGGACCCCAAAGCCGTGCAGAGTCCCCAAAGCTCCTCGGGGTCCCAAAAGTTCTGCAGGGACCCAAAAGCTGAGCAGGGTCCCCAAAACTCCATGGGGTCTCCAAAGCTCCTCGGGGGACCTAAAACTGAGCAGGGTCCCCAAAGCTCCTGGGGTCCCAAAAGTTCTGCAGGGACCCAAAAGCTGAGCAGGGTCCCCAAAACTCCATGGGGTCTCCAAAGCTCCTCGGGGGACCTAAAACTGAGCAGGGTCCCCAAAGCTCTGCAGAGTTCCCAAAGCTCTGCAAGGAACCTAAAGCTGTGCAGGGTCCCCAAAAAACTCCTCGGGGACCCCAGAGCTGCTCAGGGTCCCCGAAGCCTGGGGTCCCAAAAGTTCTGCAGGGACCCAAAAGCTGTGCAGGGTCCCCAAAAACTCCTCGGGGACCCCAAAGCTGTGTAGGGTCCCCAAAAACTCCTCGGGGCCCCCCGGGGGTGACAGCACTGTGGGGACACCATGCTGGGGCTGTGGGTGCCCCCCAAAACCGGGGGTTGCTTCTCCCCACGGATCGTGGCCCCCAATCCCTC